ATGAGTTCTTACTAGCAATACAAATATTTGGGCTTCTGGACAAAAGACGATTATAGGTTAAATGATATTTGGATAGCATCATGTGGCTGATTAAAAATGGAATAAACTGCTAATGCAGTGAAGAATGCATCTGTTTACAGGCCTGAATCAACTTCTAAAACAGGAGGAGAAAAATTACTGAAAAGTTTTCTCATTTTATGTACTCCTGCGTCGAATTGACACGTATAATTTCCATAAGACATTTTTCTCAAGGAAAAAAAGAAAGGAAAAGGAGACAACAGAAGTGAAATATATTTTGCTTTAAACCCACAGATTATTATTAAGTGTTTTTTGTTTTGTTTTTCTTCTTTTTGAACTGCAGCTTTAGTCTGAAAAACTGTTATGTAAAAATACTACTAACTCAACTGAACTGCTGCCATGGAAATGGTTCTCCAGCAACTCTTCTGACTTCACTGAAACACAGTGGGGTTTGTCGCTCCCCCATCCCTTCTGCCCTTGCCTGCATATATTCTGCAGTATGAAGGCAATACACTGGATTTTCCTCCCTCCCTGGGTATCATCACCATCACGTTTGCCTTTCAGCTTAGCCATACCCGTTGAAGCACACCAAAATCTATGGGGAAAAGCTCCAAGGAGGCAGGATTTGATTTGCAGAGCCTTTAACAAGGTTTATGTAGAAGACTTGATTTAGATCCACTAGGGATTTTAGATGACTGTAGGACTGTCAACATTTTTTTAAAGACACATTTAATTTCTTTGTAAACTTCGGGGACAGAGGCCTATGTCTCTGTGCTCCCAAAATGATATCTTGCACTGTTGGTGTGAGGTGACAGACTGAGAGCTCTGGTGAAGAGGAAAGCTCTGCTTTTCTGCAGGGCCAGGCACAGTGCCGTGAGAAGCTCCCCCTGTGTTCCTGCTAAGAGGACATGGCACACTGATGTGGAGCACCCAGGAGCGTACTTCAGTTCTCCCGTCTGCCATTTCTTTCACAACCCAAATCACATCTTTGACCTCAGTCTGCACAGATGAGACCAAGCCAGTTTTAAGGCCAAAAGCTACAGAAAAATACACAGCTACATAGGGATTCATTGTCAGCGCCAGGTGGATGGAATGGTACTGTAGAGTACCTGGTGCCTCATTTACAAGTGACCTAGGTCCATCTCTACGACCAGCATTTTCTCCTTGGGAATAGCCCTACCATCTGTGTGCTGTGGAGCAAACGTCTCCTTTATCTCTCTTTCAGTCTTCCAATTTCTTATTCATAAATCAAGTGCCTAGTCTACTAACAATACTGTAAGGAAAAATGCCTCAAAAAGGTAACGTACCTTAGGAAAAAAACAGACCTGAAGTGTGAGCAAGTTCAGTCACTTTGTCCATTACTCTTAGGGCCTTTCAGGTGGTCATTTTATGACATGCTCTTTTTATATCATATGCTGTATGATATCTCCCACCCTTCTGCTCTCCATTCTGACAGCAGCTCACCTCTGTAGTGACTTTTCTTCCCCTTGTATGTGGACAAGTACCTGAGAGCATGTGTTCTGGACAAGTGCCACAGGGGACAGGGGAAAAGTCCAAAACTCTAGATAGCACCCTATGCATCAGAGGGCATCCATCTCTCTTGATAGTAAAAACAGGCCAGAAATACAGTAAGAATAGACCTCTCTCATGGGTATACACCTCTCTCATTTGGTATACAAGCTCCTGTTTGAGGCCAGAGCTGTCTGAAAATTTGGAAGGGAAGGTTAAAAGAAATTTTGGTTCTCAAAGGAGAGGAGATTAAAAAAGGATGAGATGGAAAAGGAGAAAGAAAAGGACAAGGAGAAAGAAAAGGAGGAGAAAGGGAGGCAGAGTGAGAGAAGGAGAAAGGAGAAAGAGAAGGAAAGAGAAATGGAAAAGGAAAAAAGCAAAACGGGGAAAGGAGAAGGAGAGGGAGAAGGAAAAGGAAAAAGGAAAAAGGAAAAGGAAAAGGAAAAGGAAAAAAAGAAAAAATAAAAGGAAAAAATAAAAAATAAAAAAATAAAATAATAATAAAAAAGAACAATTTGGTTTATCTTCTTAGGACTGATTTGTTCATGCCTGAGAGCTATTAAGACTCAGTGACCAAGACAAACACTTCCTAATGCTCTGGCGATTCTCCTTATTGCCCTGCATCCCATACAGTCCCCTGCAGAAATGGCGAGTACAAAGGTGTTGTGAAGTACTACGAAATCAAAATGGCAGGATCTTGTACTCCCTATGTCCTCATTCTGCAGCAAAAGGATTACACTCAGCACATGGAAATGTGACAGAAATCTCCTCCAGCCTCAACACAGAAGATTCCTGCTGGCAGATCTGATGCTGCCATTGGCAAGAAGTGTCAGCATCCAGTGAAACTGGTGGGAGTTCAGGGCATGCAAAATAAAAGAAACACAGGACTGGCCCTGAGCATATTCATCTTTTGACAACAGTGGGAATCCCTGAGTTCAGCTGTTCCAGACCAGACTGGAAATGCCAGCCAGAAAACAAAGCAGAGAGATGCTACTATTGCCCTTCATTTATTTGGTCTTATCATAGTGTAAACAGACCTGAAACCTGAGAAAGCAAATACTTAGAACACACCTTATGCTTTGGGGATGTTTACAGATTGCCAGTCCTTTATGAAAAGAATAAGCAGGAATTAGAAAAAAAAAATACCTTGAAGATATTTCCTGGTTCCTGCTTAAGCATGTGAAGGGAGAAGGAAGACTTAATCAACCTGGATCAATTCCAGATGCAAACTATCACCTCCATATGGGGCTCTGCTTTGCTAATGCTTGTGCCTGTGTTTGCGGTGACAGAGCCATGAGCAGCAGCAGCAAGCCAAAACAAAAGGTTGTTGACTGCAGATGTTAAAAAAATGGTCTGGCTGCTACCGGGCTAGGGACTGCCCTGAGCAGGTCATGCAGGGTGCAAGAGGAGGAAGATTCACTAACAGAGCTTGGTGGCACGGTACATCACCAGAGCTGGTAACAGAGCTGTGTGTTTCCCTACCTTTGGAAAGCTTTCTGATGGAAAAAGAACAGCCTTTACTCAAAATCTATTTGGGGCTGGTCTGCAAAGAGGACTGCTCCTTATTAAAATTTGCTATTCACTCATCAGCATGGTATTTGCATCAGGTTCCTATTTCGATATGCTTTCCTCACGCTTGCAGCGCTGTGAATCTGTCTGCACGCGAGGGCAGGAATTTCCAAGCAGGTGGCTGCCAGGGTTCTCCCTTCAACACGTTGCAAGGTCTGCAAGGCCAGGCTGGCATTAACAACCACAATGTCTAATATCTTTTCCAAGGCAGCAGGCAATACCTACTTCTCAAGAGGCAAACTCATACCACCACAGACAATGCAGTGCTAGCTATGAAGGAGAAAAATTCTTTTCTCCCAAATAAAATGGCTAGTCAGTGTCCCAGACCCATTGCCATCAAAGTCCATCTTCTATTCTGCTTTGTGTTTCACATATGCTTCCAGTCATGATGGCTTTCCTTTCCAAATCTCATGGGAACTCTATCCCGTGGGAGTCCTGTCCCTTGGGAGCTCGCTCTCTGCCTAAAAGGATCCACCATGCCCTTGCATGCCACACACCACAGGGCACAGCCCAAGGGCCCCTGCCAACCTGCAGCCAGAAGCCAGACACATTCAGCCAGCCTGGGGAGAAAGCAAGTGAGGGAATGGATACTCTCAGTGTCTTACAATTCAAACGGGATTTGAAACGTTGCAGGATCCTCCAAACAAGTGGATTTTGCCATTCAGGAACGTGATGTAGAGCAAGTCGATTCGATCTATGAATAGCACAAAGCTTTGGAGGAGCCAGGAATGTTTTGATGGCTTGTACAGTGGTATAAAGACTATGTAGACATATCACCCTGAATTTCTAGACAAACCCAGCCACATAGATGTCTTTTGAAATCAATGGTAACCTTCCAAATCCCGTCCCACTGGAACTCTGTCATCCATCAATTTTTATAGCATTTCATTACTATCCAGTTATTTTCATTCTGGTTTAAGTACATACAAAATTTATGAGGTGGGCCTAAGAAATACCCAATACATGCCAAGTTGGGTTTAAGAACAGCCAAGGAAGAGGGACTGACTTGCATAAATGCCTTCAGAAGAAGGATCCAGCCACTACACTTCAGTTTCTCATTCATGATTAGAAACAACAGTGTGTGCGCTGCTCATTTCTGGCCCTTGCAGATGGCTAATACTAAGAGGATGAAAGACCAAAAGGCAAGTCCTGAGACTTGGGAGCCCCTTCTGCTCACAGATTTTTCCACTTTTCCTGGGGCTCCTGTGATGTACCTACCAGCTGGTGCAGCTGACTCTGACTGCCCTCTAGTGAAGGGATCAAATTTGCTGAAGAATGTAAAAGACAGAGATAGCTACAAATGGAACAGACACCTACAGCTGAATGGAGAGGCAGCTCTTACTCAAGCATGGGAGGACTGTGGCTGGAAAGGAGCATCCCAAGTCAAGTTCCAGGTGTTACACTGGCCATTAATATAAAGCCACCGATATGCTTTAACAGGGCACAGCAACTAGTTATTCTGCTGCCCCAAACAGATATTCTTATGCAAATCACATGTAAATCAGTGACATTTCACAGAAACAGAAGCATCATATCACAACTCTACATTTTAGGAGAATCAAAAATGGCTTCTGGTTGTGATCTGGTTAAGAGAACACTTGGCTAGTTCAGCCTCTGTCTCACATGTCAGGGTTGACTACTGAACCGATTCATGAACTTTCTCATCTTACAGGAGGCTTCAGAACTTCTTTTCCATAAAAGAAGATACTATAGTTCTGAGCTACTGAAATCCCTGAAAGCATTAAGAAACAATTTAAAATAATCTTGATTCTTCTCGTAGCTTCAGGCTTTAGAGACATTATTAAAGCAGAAAACAGAGCAACCTCATAGTTAGAGTCAACAATTACCTGCAATTAGATACAGCAAGATAAAATTACATTACTGGAGAGAAAAGATCTACTTACAGTGGTTCCAAATAGACATCTGAACTATTTATCTTCTTCTGTACAGCTGGCGTATTCCAGCTAGGCTTTTTATTGTGAGATAAGTGAATCTGAATGAGCTGGGTCAGAATGTCCACATTCTTGGGATCCATTTGATAGCTTCCTGTTGAAAAGAGGCATTATAATGAGATTAATAACATGAAAGATTCAGAAGAATGGTAATGGACTACAGAACCCTTTATCTTTGATAGTCTTTTGTGGTGATCAGTTCATGCAAGATTCATCTACTGCACTGGTCCTTTCTCTACGAGAGGCCAGTCTCTGAGCAAAATACAAGAAATGGTGTAAATTTGTCCTGTCATCCATAAAAGGTAAACTTATTTCAAAAGCATGGTGCTAATGAAACGCCATTAGACAGTCAGTAGTGTTAAGCACCTTTGCTCTGTGGCTGTATTTAACTCACATGAGATGTAGTAATACTCCTTACCTGCCTTTAGCTCTCCAGTATGTAGTGACATACATGCATACCAACACAGATCTGTCAGCCTGCTGCCCGTTCACTTACCTTGGCTATATCCTTGTGAAGCTTCTTATTCTTTGGACATTTATCTAGCTAAAATAAATGAATTATCTACAAAAATTACTATCCTATACCCATCTCTCTTACCAGCTCTCCTAATATATGCACATGGAACCTACCATGCTTTTGCCTATAAACTAGCCCAAGGTAATGTGGCCAAAACTGATTTGAATTTCAACAGGCATTTAGAAGTCTGTGTAGAACAAGTTAATATTCTTATCCAGCCCTTGGTGGAAAGCTATCTGTAAAATCCACATCAATGCAACCCATAGGTATGAATTCAAGGACAGAAGCCATGACACGGAGACTGCCTTATGGCCAGCGCTTGAACACATTGGTAGAATCTGTTACCACTGCTGTACCTGTTCTGGGACTAACTAGATGGTTTTACCTTCAAGGGCACTTTCTAACCTGACATAAATACCCCATAGCAGCTCCTTCTGCTCACCTGAGCAGCTGACTTTTTTTAGAGTGCTATATGTGCTAGTCTTGCTGGTGTATCTTCTGTGAAGCCACCACCAACTACAGCCAAACGATCAGGCTTCAGCAGCAGACCTGGGAAGTGAAAACACAGTTTTATGAATGTTTCTGGCTCTCAGCACTACACAGCCAGATTTTCAAGTTAACAGCAGCAATATCTGAACACAGATAGTGTGACTTCTCAGTAATAAAGGCATGTTGACTCCTCAGTGTTAGTTCCTGCTGGCTGAAAAGGGCTGGGGACACAGAGACAGACACACACAGTGTGGATGCAAATGTTTACCACTGGGGTGGCAGACTGGGATTCTGACCGACAGAAGACAAATAAAGGGAATTTTTAAGTTGTTTTCTTAAAATGCATCTCCCGCCAAACCCAGCAGTTTGGTTAAACCTTTGCAGAATCAGATAAAGATTTTCAACTAACACTGCCTTTTTCCAGCTTAATTGGCTCACTTCCTCAATTCCCTTGGAAGGAGCGTATTTGTGTGCAAAGTGATACCTCCATGTATCCTTGCTCTTGCTCTCTCCTCCAGAGATATTCTTACCATATACCTGCTGCTGCCACCACAGCTACTGCCATTGATAAAGAGAAATCATTTCAGACCTATTGGACTTTTCATCTCTATAAATCCATACTCATGTAACAGCATAATAAATGCAGCAGTCATATAACAATTCGGTGCATTTGACAACAGCTGGTGGAGGAAGGGCAGCTGAAAGGACAGACCACCAAAAACACCACCTCTCTTAGACAAAAGAGAGGTTCTGCTGCAAATGGAGCCAGTAGAGACCAGCTTGTACATCCATGAGAACAGTCTCAAGTGTAACTCTGAGCACAGCTGTACAAGTTTCTCTTAAACCTTCCTCCAACATTGTGTTCCACACTGTCCTGCAGGGACACTTTCTACGAGGTCTGCATAAATTTCATACTAAAATATGGCTCTATCTAACTTCAAATCAGAGTCATGGGAAAGATTCTCACTGTTTTCAGCAAAGTTAGCTCAAGTTCTCCATCGAACATAACTACTGCGGAAAGCTGTGGGTGTCCTTGAATGGCACAGCTATCCAGCACTGGTTGCACATGAACAGCATATCGTACTAATCACAGTATGGAGCCCTAACTTCACTGTTATTAAACCATCCACAGCTATTAACTAGGAACACAGAGATAAGCACAACACGTGGTACTTTCACAAAGGTCTAAGGGAGCTCCATGAGGCAGTGGGTACCATCCTCACTCCTCTGCGGCCCACTGAAAACTCCAGCCCACGAATGCCAGTCTGGTCTGGTTTACACTCAGGACCTGGCTTTGCTCTTCCAAAGTCAGTGTAGCGCTATTCCTGTGCAAGCACAGGAATAAATAGTATCTGCTGTTGCACTCACATGCTTTTATTCAGCAGTAAAGAAAAAAAAAAAAAAAAAAAAAAGAAAAGGAAGAAAAGCTTGAAGCAGCTAACTCCAGTGAAAAGGGCCCAAGAAATTACTGTAGGGTCAGAATATGCATACAGACTGGTACGCCTGGTGGCGACTGAGCAACTGAGCCCCTTCCCCAGCTATCCTGCAATGACATCTGCATGTGTCTAGAGATAAGAGGAGTAAGGGAGGCTTGAGAAAATACTCTACTACTATTACTATTTCAGGACAACAAAAGTAAATATAACAAGACACAGCCATTTCTCAATTACATTTACTGTTTTATTGCACTGTGTATAATAAATGCTTCCACCTCCATCCTCCCATTAACGTAACATAATATTGGTTAAGATTGAGATCTAGTAAATCACACAATCTTTGAATCAGTTTTCCACAGCAATATTAACCCTGCCCAACATGGTTGGACAGGCAGCAAGATATGACAGACTATAAATTTGGTAAATGATTTAACACAGTGTTTTTATTTTGCCTTTCTCTTAAGAAGTACGCTCACATTTATTCCAACACATAAACAGAACTCAAAGGTGAATTCCCTAACATAACTATGTAAAAACAAATAACTGGTATCACTGATTAACTTGCAATTATTCCTTACGGGACAAGTTCCATGTAAATAGTATCCCATCAACCAATAACTTCTATCAAGTGTATCTATATTCAGGAATTTAGTATGTAATTGCATTCCCACAACAGTGGGCTCTAGCATTTCTTACTCCCCCGTGTTTTAATCACTTAAGCCATCAACAAGATTTTTAACATATTTAACATTGTGACTTTAAAGATGTCATGGTCACACTGTAGTCATTGCTCAAGCTCGCTGCCATGTTCAACAGCACAATCAGAAACTTTCCCAACTCCTCTGCTGGGCAAGTAACTATGCTACCAAAAATCCGTGCTACATTATTGCCCTGAAACTGTCCTGGAGTTCCACCTCCTCCAATATCTTGTAACTAAAAATGGAGCGACCAGCTCACCCCCAAGAGGTCACTAATTAAAATAGGTATTTTTAGATTCTAGGTATACTCAGATACACTGCAAGTGATACTATAAATATTTTGTGGCTTTATTTTCTGATACATTTAGTCCCTAGCAAAAGGACAGAAAATTTGCCTTCACCGTAATGACAGTCCACCTTGTGAGAGTATATAGTGGGTATAAAACAGAGGAAAGAATAATCAGAAGTCATTCAATGACTTAAGTAGTTAGCCTTTCAGCTACATTAGTGGGTAATGCCAGAAACAAATGGCAATTGCAAGGCAACAACTAAGCAGATGAATTTACTGCATCATCAGCTCCAACTAGATTTTAAAGATAAGTTTATTTTACCACTTACCGCCTTCCCTCTGTATCTTCCCAGTGAAGAAAGCATTCTTCGCTATCTCAGCTATGGCTAGATGAGGCTTCAGGGAAGAAGAGGCAAAGGCAGCTACAATTTCATCAGGTTCCTAAAAGCAAAAAGTGAGAAACATATCCTTAAGTCTAATTCTTTGTGTTTTCCTACAGCAGACTGGAGAGGGGAGGGGCAGAGACATCTGGAGGAATCTTCTGTCCCCTCGTAGGTCTGAGCAACACTTTCACACCACTTCTTCACCATGTCCTGTATTCAGTGTGCAAGGCACAGAAGGCACACCTGAGTCACTTTCTGGCCTGAGAAGGAACCTGAAAGGACTGAGGCTACAGAAGGTGCTAATATCACACACTATTTCATGATTTCCAAGACACATAGTTTGTAAGATTCTTAAGTAATTACTGAACCATAAAACGCAACCCAACACATATAAACACCTGAACACATACGATCATGCCTGCTGCCTTTAGTAGTAAGGAAAATGCTTACTGTGAAGAAGAGAGGAGAGACAAAGAACCTAAAAGATAGCTGATAAGTTGTTCGAAGGTTTCAGAAGTCCATCAAACTTCATCTCACGTTATTGCTGAGAGAATTGTAAATTACAAATATAATATACACATTTTTAGCCTCTTTTTCAAATTAAAAGTTATGTCGTGAGAATCTAGGTAGCATTTGCTTTATACCTGTAATGGAAAGTCTTCTGGTCAATATATGACACATGAAAAAAATGGTTTGTTCCAACACACTGCTCTGCCTGCTAACATTATTGGCCTATACAGTTGTACAGTACCTAGACATTTAATTGATGCTGATAAACATCAAGATAGCCTTTCATAAGACTTCCCAAAGGGAAAGGCTGCAAGCTGTCAAATGTGTTCTGTTACAGATGGGGAATGGGGAAACATCCATGGCAGCTAAGAACTGACTGCAGGTCTCTGAATCCCAGACTAACACATTATCATATCTTCCTTCTCTTTTCATCCCTAATTCAGATTGTTAAGCATCCACTGTAACAGAGTAGCCCAAGAAATATGTTAAAATTTTGATCTGTGTAGTTCTGCTGTTCTACTCTCCTAAATTAAACAAAATTCAGAGTAAGCTTGAGTAAGAAGATGCCACGGGAAAGGCATTTTAAAAGCATGATCACTGACATTGGAACTCATTTTCTACAGTGGATCCTGGATTTATGCATTGCAAACAATATGTTCTGCATTCAGTGCTCTAGGAGGACTGACTTGCTCTCTAAAGACGGAAGATACAATAAAGAGAAATAAGAAGGTAAGTCGAAATTCACATGCATCAATTAGGGAGCCCTTTACAGCCATTGTAAGCTACAGAAAATGTATTTTGCTTCACTGTAGTTTTGCAGATGGGGTAGGTGCTTTTATTGGGATGAATGCATAAATATTTTACATGATGAGCTGTTTGTTTTGTGGACTTCCATTTTCCTAGTTCAAGCAAGAGAGGTGCTGCTAGCCTTAACAATTATAGCAGCTGTCCATCATTCAGAAAGCTGTAAGCACTTGACAGGAGCAGGTCTTGTCTTGTTCTTATCACAAAGAAGAAACTGAAGCACAGATGTTTCAAACACAGCACACCTGTGGGAGAATTCAGCTATATTCCTTTTCCTGCATGCAGGTTACTGAGCTACACAGACATTTGTTATTCAGTATAAAGCTAGAATAATGTACAATCATTGGCTTCTGCACTCATGCTAATACATAACATCCTTTTAAGTTATACAGGTTAATGGAGAGATTTTGGATAAACTTGGTAGCATTGCTGTAAACTGACTGCAAATTTGCTAAGGTAATATAGGTTTAAGGAAGATAAAATTTAGTGAATATTTAGTGACTTTATGTAAATTGGGGTTTTACAAAAGGTAAAGAAACATCACAGAGAAACAACACTGAAACTCTTTGTTCATCTGTTAACCAGACAAGGAAGCTGGCAGTCAGTCAAAGCTCAAAGTCAAAAATTTCAGAATACCAGCAGCTGTGCCACATGTATTATCTTTTTGGAAACCTCAATCCCATCTACTCATAAAGCAGGATTCAGTCACGCAGCAAGACTCTCCTCTGATCTCCCCTGACCTCTTCTGCTAAGTCTTTGAGGGGCACTGTTCTTTTCCAGGGCAGCTAGCTCGGTGACATCTATTTGTAGGAGATAATCTCCCCAGCACCTGAGATGATTTCATATACAAGTTGTTGCTGCTACCTAGAATAATGTTGCCTGCATTATATCTGCAATGAGGCAAATTAAGTCATTTAGGCTAACCTTGGACTTTGCTGATACTCTCCTACCAGATTATAATCCGCTGGAGTCCAACCCAAGCCCAAACTCAAGCTCCCATGTAACTAATAGATAGGAACCTAGTCTAATAGATAGGACCTACAGAAAGTTCTATACTTGTAGAAAGTAATCCCCATAAAAGTTGTTTTAGTTCAGAAGATGTGAGAAAATCCAGAATCAGCTTGCATGATAAGCCAAGGAACTCAAACAAAAATGCTAAGTTTATCTAGGTAATTTTCAACCTAATGAAATCCACTTCTATGAATTATCAAAGTTACTATATACCTAATTGCCAATGACAAATTCCACAGCCATGGGGATGGAAAAATTAGGATATGATCTCTCTCCCAGGCCAGTTTTGTCCAGCCCCCTAAAGCCAGAAGCTGTAGCAGAAGCTAGGAGGAGGTACAGAATCAGTTTATTCCAGTCTCAAATCTAGTCTTAGTCAAGGATACAAAAGGTATAAACCATCCCCCAGTTGACCATGGTGCAGTCTTTCCGATTGGATTGGTATGATCCACATATTCTGCTTAAGTAATTCCAATCCAACCTCTCTACAGGCATAACTATTTTAGTCAGGAATGTGTCTCTTTTTTCGCATACAGAAATGGTTATATTGGCATAATACACTTTTATACAAATATAACATTCATTCACTGTAAAGGAGAGCACGGAGTTTTAACTCCATCAGGATATTTAAAGCCACTGCAACTTCTCTGTGTAGACAAATCTCACAATTTCAAACCCTCTGAGATTCATCTGTCACAGTTCTTGAGATTTGGTTTGTCACAGTATTGGAGAGCTTCCCAAAACTTGCTGCCCTGAAATATTGTCACAATATGCAGGATTTTTTTCCGGCAGTCCTGCTTCATAAAAGCAGGCACCAGTTCCACCCAGAAGCCACCAGCCTTCGAAGTCTACAGGCTTTTGTTTCTCTTTCATGAAGCTGACCTTGAAATGTACTTGCAGTTATTCTTTCTCTCTCCCTCTGTGATTGCACTGAAGAGCCTGCTCTGCCTGCCTGCCTGATATTCCTGAGTCATTATCTGTGTCTTAATATCCATCTCTGAGCATCTCACATGCATGTTAAAGGACAAAACTAAAAAGCTCCACTCTTAATAACATCTCTTAGCAAAAAAGATCCAAAACTGTGCCCTGCCACAACTCTCATACAGACTTGTGTTTTCTCTGTGGTGAGCAGCAGGAACACATCACATCAAGTTTCACAGACCTGATTACCTGTGGAGGATGTTAATCTCCTCTCAGCAGAGAGAGAATGATGCTAATTTGCAATGCTATCAATTATTTTGGAACAGGCAGACAATTAATCCACTCCCAACGGCTCAAAACTGATTCCTTGTGCACTGATCCTTTCACCCCAGCCTAGCAATGGCACTTCTGCTGTCTCCATTTGCTGAGGAGTCCTTTCCGCAGCCTTGGGGAGGAGCACAGCTGGGACAAATGCTGGAAGCAGGTGGACGGCAGAAGGATTGGGATGAGCTCAGGAGCATCTTCTCCCTCTAGCTCTTCTTTAGCCATGGGGCAGATGTGTGAGCCACAGCTACTTCTCTCCATAGTGACCAGAGCAGCAGTTACTACTGCTTTCCTCTACTTTTATGCTGGGACTCACCTTACTGATCCTCTCTACTTTACCGTGCTGCAAGATGTCAGTAAGGACCACGATGAGAATGTGAAAATCAGCAATTCCAAAGACAGAACATCTCTGTGCATCTCAACAAGTTACAGAAAATAATCAGGGATCAAAAAGCCCCCCACTTTTCATATTAACTACTGGTATAAACAGAACTATGTTTCTGTTCTCTCTTTTTTTTAGCTATGATGTCCTACTAATGTGTCTGTGATATGCAGAACATCTAGTTTTGACAGACCTGAACTTGAAATGATGACCAAATGTGATGTAGACTCTCAGAGATGATCCTATCCAAAAGTTTCTGGCTAAGGAAAAAGGAAACCCATAAGGGCAAAAGGGAAAAGGATGGGCTGCCCCACCAGAAGTGTGAGGACAGAGGTGCACTGGGACCTCCAGAGGCAGAAAAACAAAGATACTTCATGCCATATTGAAGCAAACCCCCAAAGGCCTTCTCCTCTCCCTCCTCCTTCTGAGATACAACCACTGGGCAGTGGCATTTTCCTGAAAACAATACCTGGTATCTTCAGGCTGCATGATCCATTTGCACATTAGAACTAAAAACATTAATATCTGGAGGGAGGACACAAGAAACAGTGTCATTCCAAGGAAGCTAAAACATTAGAAGAGGTAGAAGACACTTAATGGAGGACAGAGCCATGGCAATTTGCCCTGGCAGTCCCACAGTTTTGAGTGTTGCAACAGCCTCTAGAAACACTCTGCAAAGAGGTGACACAGAGCACTGTGTCAAGCCCTGAGGGCAGCACTAGCTGACTGTCTACTGGGCATTTCAACCTCATCCAACAACCTACATTTGGGGAGGCATACACAATTCTTGGTGATATGATAAAAGCACCACATGCAAACCAAGGAATCTAAGAGCGGCAGAGCTCCTGACTGTGGGAATGGCACAAATTACTCAGGAGTTTCATTTTGCATGTAAATGGCAATTAGGCTCTTAAATCAATTGAATTGGAAATTTTCACAGTGTAATGCTGAGGACCATGGATTTTTTGGGCTCATCTGTGGCTCACCTCACAAGGTGTCCCTTGCTACTCTACACGGAGGAGCTTGTGACCACATTCTGGTGGTGAAGTGGCTCTATACCATCTATTTCTATGGAATTAATCCTGTTTTACCACATCACAGAGAGGAGA